GAGAGTGTGGGGGGAAGAGGGGGGAGAGAGAGAGAGAGAGAGAGAGTGTGGGGGGAAGAGGGGGGAGAGAGAGAATGTGTGTGTCATAGCTGGATACCACGATTCTTCTTGGTGAATCGATTCTTTTATGATTCATCCAGAATCGATTATCCATCCATTCCATCGTTTGATTTTTCTTTAATTGTGCGTTAATTGTCTTGTCGTTCACCTTACGAAGAGGACAGTTGTCGTATTACCGTGTTATAGGAACAGCACAGATTCCAGCAGTATGAATTATCAGGTCGAGTCTCTTCTACTAGGCTTTGTAGATATTATTGGAATGCGGAGATAAGGTCGTGGGGTCACCACCCCCCCACCCGAGTCCCAACATGCGAATGTGGGGGGGCTTTCTACACTGTAGCAGTGTTTCTGCATTATTATTATTATGAAAGTCATCAACTGTCATTGTTGACGCACCACAGCACAACAATAAAATGTGTCGTGTGCATTTAACCCCAATATGACATTGCAGTGGGCAGCTAATTCAGCACCTGGGGAGCAGTTTGGGGGGGCGGAACCTCGTTCAGCAACCTTTCAATCACGAGCACGCTTCACTAACCATTAGGCCAGCACCGGCAAAAACCTCTGGGTAAATCATCATCATCATCATCATCACCATCATAAAATGATGTTAGGCCGAGATTCCAATCAATTAGCACAAGTTAGCAGCGGAACAGGAGCTATACAAAACATCATGTGGACCAAGTTCTGGCAAAGCATATGAAGTACAGAAAAAGAGCATCGAGGGTTGCCAAGAAACCATTATCAAGGAATAGTTAATGAAAACATAGAGCAATAGGTTGAATAAGTTGAGGTGTTCCTGGAATTCATGGGTTGTAAGATGTTGCTTGGTAACAGAAAATGATTCTTAAAGATGTTATTGAAGGGCATTTTCAATAACATTTGCCATTGAATTTAAACAATGTTATGCCTAAGCAATGTGTTCATTTGTCAGTGTTTTATACGTCCGTAGACTGTATAAGTCGTGGATTGCGTCTATGTCCCGCTCTCATAATCCATTACTTTGCCCTCTGTTCTATGAGTGTGTTTTTGGACCAGTGAACCAGATCATCCCGTTCACGAATGAGATCATTTCATTCACTTAAAAAATTAGTTCAAAAAGAACGAAGGGAAATCGAGTTCCATTTAATATTTTAAAGTTAACATTTAATAAGAAGCAAAAATAAGCAATTTTATAAAAGCTCTTTCGTTCACTCTTTGGGAAAAAAAATATATATTGATTCTCACCCAACATATCGCAACGCAAAGTGAGTCATTGAACGAAGTTAACAATCACCCAGTGAAAGTTCACTTAAGATTCGTTCCATCATAACTAATCGTTCATGAACGACAGAAGTCGAGTGAAACTGCATTTTTAAACAGGATGTAGCATATGCTGGCTTTGATAGAGATTAAAATATGAAAAAAAAAATGAATCATTAGGTTACATCTCGGGGTCATACATTTCCCAGTCTTTTTTGCATTCCGAGATTTAGTCAGATCAGACGTCCCTGTTCCAGAATACATCACCCTGCAGACTGCCCACGCCGCTCCTCGTAAGACACTGTGCGCCGAACTCGATCGACCAGCAAAGCCCCCGGGCTTACCCTCCCGTCGCAGCCGTCTACCAAAACAGGTCTTCTTTGTGACTCCTCTCCTCAGTGAGTGATGCCCAATAAAGACTCCGTCGAGGGCTGCGGCGACCCCGATCCCGCTCTATCCCCAGCTCAATGGAGGTATTGACCTGTGAACATAGACACCTCCTTCAAAACAAGGCAGAGGGGCGATGACAGCTGACAGTGTGAAAAGAGGCACGACCCAGCTCTGTATCGCACCCGGATAACTGCCCACCGTCTTTATCACCACAACCATAAACCGTTATGCACCGATTGCACGTAAAGCTTATAATAAGGCCGGCGCTATGCAACAGCGTGGATAACCGGACATGATAGGCCTAAACGTGAATAATTTTGTTTCCTAGCCAAAGCCCACCCCCCCTTCCCCAACGCATCTCGTAATCTTTTCCATGTATATGGCTGGTTGTTTTACTGGAGCGATTCAGGTTAAGTGCCTGGCTCAGAGGTGCTACGACGTGAGCTCTCAAGGGACTGGAGTTAGCAACTTTGAAGGCCATATCCTTAACCACTGCACAATGTGCAGCAGCCAGAGTATCAAACGAGCCGCTGGTAGCGTCCCCACCCACGCTGATAAGCACCTTCGGACGGCATTCTGCAGCTCCCTGCCCGGTTGGTGCGTGGAGCCTTCGCCACAAGAGGGCACTCATTAACTTACATTATGGGGCGACGGAGGAAAGTTATAGGAGGCGGTGAATGAGAAAAAAACTTTCTTACTGTAGTCAAGGTTTCTTCTTCAATACCACCATATATTTATTCCACTCCCAACGTGGATGTGACGTTTCTGGCAAACCGGCAGTGTTGATTTCACGCTCGTATAAAATTACATTTTTTGTACATCTTTAGTGTTGATTAGGTGAGACGTTTTCTCTGCATTTCCAAGTAACCCGCCTCCCCTTGGGATTCAAACGCCTACCGTCGTGCCTTATTCTGCGCCTTTCCCCTGTCGCGCCGGCATTCGGAGGTACGTCTCGCCTGGAACAAAACAGACACTTAGTTGGAGCATAAGCCAGTAGCTGTTTCACCAGTGACACATCTGAAAGACTCGTGCAGGTTATAGAAAATACCACGCGTAAGTATTTATACGCGCATTCAGTCATCTGCCTTGAACGTGCCCTTATCGTTATTTATAAACGCGGCATGGATAGAGCATGCTAACATAAGGTGGTGTCAAAGGCTTTGGAAATACAGGTGACAGGCATTTCAGATCCCCATTCACCTGCGATGCAACGCCAGGCATCGCATGTGTAGCCAGTGATTGAAAAGGCGTGCAGTCTGTAGAGACAGACTCCTTCAGCGCCGACGGCGTTTTTAATGATGAGCGCTGCTTTACATGAACGCTAATATTGATCATTTGGAACAATGGCAAACGCGCGACCGGCGCTCCTCGCAAATCCGCGCTCCCGTGGCACGCACGCACACACACACACACACACAGACACAGGCACGTCCGACCCACACAAAGTTGGTTTATATGCAATTACACGGAGAAAAACAAATACCCAACCACACCAGTAGACTGTCACACCTCCACACTCACAGAGACGTACCACACACACACAGACACACAAAGACTAGAGACTCCAGCCCTCGACGGATCCCCTTCTCCCAACGCCGCAATCGGCTCTCAATCCGTCTCAGACCCCAAAAAAAGACCAAAGACCCTGCGTATGAAACGAAAAGGATCGAAACTTAATCGCAGCCGGGCAAATCCAATTTTACAGAAATAAAGCAAATTTCTATAGGACAAAAAAAATGATGCAACATCCGACGACAGACGGGGGCAGAAATAATGTAGATTATAAAACAGCCGTTGATAATATGCAATAGGCTGCGCTTTGTGTATTGAGTTTGTGAGTTGTTGGCGTAAATACACACTAGCGGTTTATTCCTTAAACTCGATTTTAATTTCGCACCAGTGAGTAGATTTCCACGGATGCGTGTTAGTACTGGGAGACGGGGAGGCAGGACTGGAGATGGACTGTCGGAGTGGGAGGGATGCAAACAATTATTATGATGATGACTGACTGACACGCAGGATCCAAATAACGTCAGGGACTTTATTCGGAATAATTGTCCAGTGAAAGCGGTTGTTACAGCTTATCAAAAACAGGACGTTGGGGAGCCTTAAATTAAATGGCGAAATAAGAACCGAGCCGAGGGAGAAAGCGACGGCTGTGACGAACCGAGAGGACATGGAGAAACGCGATCGGGTGCCGTTTTGAAAGGTAGGTTTGTCTGAAATGTCTTTTTTTCGCATGCACGTTTTTTTTGCTCGGCTTCTGCTCCGGGTGATTTACTTTCCTTTCGTTGTGTGCTATAGCAAGGTTGGTGTAACTAATCTAACGTACCGTGGGGTAATAACATGGCAAGCGGCGTATAGAGATGTAGGCTATACGTCTGTGTGGTTTGGGGGACACACGTTGATTTATTTATTTTTTCTATTATAAGCTGATACTAATTGGGAAGTCCGGTTAAAGAAAAGAAGATAAACGCAGTCAAAGATGTTTGCGAAAAATAAATCAGAATTAAATTAAATTAATAAGTTAATACTGACCATTTTCGGCTATAAGTGTGTGTATGTGTGTGTGTGTATATAGGCTATATAAATAAAACATTGAACGACATATATATATATATATATATATATATATATATAGGCTAAAGTTATTTGTTGACACTAGTGTATGAAGTGGATAGTGAATTGAATACGTGGCTTTTACATACATACGCAAAGGAAATACGTCCACAATATCGGTATATTCAGCGCAAGTCACCTGTGCTTGTCAGGGCGCTACCAGCACATACATGACAGTGTGTGTGTGTGTGTGTGTGTGTGCCTGCGCGGCAGAGCAGGGGAGAGAAAAGCAGGGAACTGTTAAAAGTGCACGGTAATGCGGCACATTAGCGGATGTGGGGCGGCGAGCCGGGCGTGATGAAGGCGGGCTGGACGCGGTGCGGTGCCGCCTGACTCCGCTGCGCCCTCGCTGCCCAGGCGGTGGCAATGAAGCGCATGGATCCGCTGGAGTCACTGCCCCGGTGCCAGTGGACCTCTCAGCGGCATGTCAAACCCACCCCGGCAGAGCCAGGCCCTCTGAAGAGCAATACAGCGCCCTATTAAAGTTTTATGGCTGGCTTGGTGGCCTTGTGCTTAGCGCATGTCCCGACACCGCGGCACTGTTCGTTCAGATCCCAGCAGGGTTCTGCCGCTACATCCGTAATGTGGTGCTCAACTGACGTAAAAGAACATTTCAAAGGTTCCTTGGCGACCCCCTGCTGCGTTCTGCCTAGGACATTAAAATGGCTTTACTGTCACAAAGAGGTGTTACAGAAATGAGTAATGGTGGCAGCATAATAATATATTTGTGAAATCTTCCGGCGGTGTACACATGTGAGGCTGCCTCAGACTGGGATGCACTCAAACCATTAGCAACCACCATATTTTAGCAGCGACCTCCGCTGATGCGAGAGGAGCTCACATATGATGACACTTAAATGTCGCCTTGGACTCTTCTGTATCAAACAGGTCTATTTTAGACCCACAAAATGAAATCCACTTCCTTTGTTTTTCATCCAGATAAACACAAATATTCCTGTGTTTTCTGGTCCAGAGAAAACTCCTATTGTGGCCTCCACTGGTCTCCTACATTCTTCAGTCTTATATGGTCTTTTTTTTTCTCAGTTACTCTTCCCAAAGGGCTCCTCTCTTACTCATGTCCACTCCTGGGTCCCGGGGCCTGAATGTCACTCAGGGCTGTAAACATGCCGCCCAGACGACAAGCCCTCAAGCTGGGTTTGCTCTGCGTCCATCTCGCCTCCTCCTCGGAGGATACACTGACTGGGTTTTTGCACGAGTGCTCTTATGCATTATTGACGGAAGGTTCTAGATGGCCGTATGGATGAATATCGATCATTTATTTTGACAGATAACAGAAAAATGCGCCCAATCGGCAGGGGATATATGGTTTCTTAAAAATGTAGCTTTAAAAAAAATCTCTAAACATTAATAGAACATGTGAAATTGTTTTTGAATATGTGAAATTATTATTTAATTTTGGATGATATTCTGTGGGCTGGTGCCCCATCCTGGGTCGTGCCTGTGGATTCTGGGGTAGGTTCCAGACTCCCATGACCCTGCATAGGACAATTGGGTTTGGAAAATGGATGGATGGATGACCCTGATTGGCTAGCCCCAATGCTGGGGGTTTGAGTCCCACCCCTGCTCTGTGCGCCGGAATATTTCCATCATTTATGTTCCAGGTACACCAGGTTCCTCACTCATTCCAGAGACATGCAGTTAGACAAACTGGTAATCCTAGAACTCTGTGTTGGGTGCCTCTTACCTTGGGCCCAGTGCTTCATGGAATAGGCTCCAGGCCGGCCTATAAGCATATAATGATTAAGTGATGGAAAGCTGGATGTTTCTCTTTGATTTTCCCAGTGTCAGTTGTGGATGAGGCAGAGCAGAGTTCTTAAAGTCTAAAGATGAATCAGAGTAAAGAACATGAAAAATAAATAGCAATTGATTATGTTATACATAATCTCACTGTGTTCTATGGGGGCCGTACGGAATTAAAAGCCTTTCGCTGGGCTAGAGAGGCATTTGGTTTCTGTAGCTCAACTGTACACCTCCTGTTTCCGGTACTTGGTTGGGGATTTCCACCCTGAACGGTGTCGGGCCGTTCGGTTTCCAGAGCTTGCAGGAAAGACTCCGACGGAGAGGTACACACAAGTCTGCCCGGTTGCTGTGCTGAGCCGTGTGCACGTAGTACATCTCTCCAGCATCCCGTTCTCCACCCGTCGGAGATCCCCCAGCTCGCTCCGGATGTCTCACAGAACTCCACACCCACTGTACCTTGTTTTTCATCCACATGGAGACTCCCTCTCTGTCCCTCCCCCCTTCATTTTCTTCGTTCGTTCCAAGCCACTCGGAGGGGATTTTTGTCCGGCTCGTGGGAGGGTGCGGCACAGTCCTCCGTCTCTCTCTCTCCCCCCCCCCATCGTTTTTTTCCCCTTCTTTCCCTCCTGCTGTTTTTCGTCTCTGTGCTTTAGATAAACGCACATGTCACTCACGTCACCCTGTAGGATTAAAAAAAAAAAAAACACGTAGTGAATGATAACATAACGGGGGAGTAGGTGGGGGTGGGGCATGGATCCTCACAGCAGTCCCACCGTCTCTCAGGGTCGCTCTCATTGGACAAGAGCAGGGATCAGGGCAGACAGCCTTGCTGACAGAGTTATGGTGGCATCAAGTAGCTGTACAGTCGCACCAATAAGCAGACAACCCTCACAGAACTATACGTGGTGCAGCTGGTTAGGAGGCTTCTGATCAGAAGGTTATTGGTTCGGATCCCAGGATTGATGAAGAGATTACATCATTAGGTCCCTAACTGCTTCAGTGATCATCCCACCCTGTTTTCTCTCAAACACAAGAAAAGTTCCAGATAAATAAATGCGCCAAAATCACGGCTAATATTCACTATCGCTTTGCCGCCGTCTGAACTCTCAGCGATGAACAAATCTTAAACCAGGAGGCACTAGTATCAAAACTCACTAGTATCAAAACTCACTAGTATCAAAGCTCTTGATCATTTTGAAAGGTAAGCGAAACTTCCAAAGGTCCGCGACGCCGATTCCGTGAGCGTGACAGATATGTGACAAGCAGCTTTGGTTCAAACCGCGTGTGTAGCAACGTTAATGTACAGTCGTTGATTTTATGAACTCCTCCGGTCTTTTGCTTTTTTCTTATTTTAAATGTACTTATTATTTATGACACGTGTATCGCTTGTGACTGTTTATACTTACATATGTATTTCGTCGGTCTAGTCTGTACTTTTTGGTTCCGCCACAAAGGTTCCTACTTGAGTTTTGCAGGTGTGGCAGCAATCAGCGATGCATTTTCAGCGCCAATTCCCGCCAGAATCCACTTGGATTCGGAGCTGGAAATGAACTACGGCCTTCACGACAGCCCAGTGATGGACTGCTAGTCGAATCGCCGGTCGCTACACGTGCGCAGGTCCTAATTTAAGGCCGGGAACTCAAATCCGCGTTGCTGCTTCCATTTAGAAGCTTTTAATTCTGAGCTCAGGTGCAATAAATCTGCGCTCGCCATACTGTCCTCTCCGTCAGGTGCGGAATAAACAAAATACTCAGCCCTGTAATCTTCCCGCTGCGCTCAACTCTAGTTTGCGCCGCTGAGCAATTATCGAGTACTTTTTACGCCATTACGCAGAAACAGCCCCCTCTGCTAAAATGCATTGCAAATTGCAGTCAAGTTCAGCCGTCACTTCTATTCTCCGCCCTCCCCCCCCTCGCCACCCCATCACTTGACCTTACTTGCCCCCGGGGGGGGGGGGGGACACGGGAATGTTAGAACTCCCCCCCCCCCCCCAAAAAAGCATCCATCTTCTGTATCCGGGCCAATATCGCTCCCCCAGGGGACCTGCGACTGGCCCCAGAAGCCCTTGTTTCCGGTCGCGCTCTCAGCACGCCTGAGAGAGCGGGGGCGATGAACGCCACCAGCTATTCTGGGAAATATCGGCGCCAAAAAAAAATGGGTGCAGAACTCACAACCAGCAGGCGCGGCCAGGGAGGAGGAATTTACCAGCGTACGCTCGACAGATTAACGTGGTGACAGGGACCCTTGAGTTATGGCTGGGAACACTCTGTTTCACGTTACAGGACCAGAACAACGGTGGGAACTGCTTGTTAACTGCAGATATAGCTATAGAAAGTACTGGGGACCAAAATAGTCCTCTGGATCCTTGTACCGTTGGTTCGCGCGCAGTATCGCTAGGCGCAAGCTGTGTCCCAGATCCGAGATCTGGCATGGCTTCTAGACAAAGCCTCCGACCCAGGGGTTTAGCTGTTGATGCCGTTTTGAAACCGTAGGTATCTGCCTGGAAGGTGCTGACCTTTTTTTGAAGTACAGCAAGGAATTGGTCAGAAGAAATGCCAACATTGGTGGGGGGGTGGGGTGGAGGGGGGTAGTCATTCTCTACCAAGAAGGTCAACTGTTGGAGGGAAGCGAGTTCTGGAACATAGTAACACGGAGAAACTCGGCTCGGGATTCTGGCTACGCGGGATCCTCAGTGCAGAATGTAAAGCGTTTGACTAAAAGGTTTGAGGAAGGGAACAGACGCATTAAAAACGTGGGGGACGGAAATGAAAGACGTCACTTTTGACATTTGTAAATTGGCTGGCGCAATGTGCCGTCAGATTCACTAGC